ATTCAGGGAAGGTATAAATTTTATATGGCAGTTATAATGATTAAGAGTTCTGTATAGTTAAATATTGATGAAGAAATAAAAACTTCAGAAATGCTGCAGCACAAGGGTTAGTTTGCTTTATTAAAAAAAGTTGAACTTAGATTTATTTTCTCAGAAAGCAAAATGGCCTTAATGCTTAAGACCAGATGGGAAGGATGGATATTAGGTAGGTAGGTATTCAATAAATAACAAATAATGTGTTATTTGGGAATAACCTTTGGGAATAAATGTCAATATAATACAGATTTATCTGAGAATGTGTAAAATATAATAAATCATAGACATCTTGCTCTAAAAGTTAAGCAGAAAGATCTAGTGTGGGCTTAATTTTGTCTTCCTCTAACTTTGGGAACCCTGCCAGCATCTGTATTTCTGCCAAAGATTACTTTGCAGACTACAGTTGAGATGACCAGTTAATATTTGTATGGAAATAAATGTATGTTTAATGATTTTTATTTTAGAGTTGAGTTAGAAGTCTCTGATTCATTATGAAACATTCCTTGGTGCTTGTAGCATTATTTCTTTCTTAGACTGAGTTCTAAGTAATAGTAATTGTGCTGTACTATAAACTTGGATAAAATAACCTTAAATTTGGACAGGATGTGAGAGGGAAACTTTGGTTTAATACCACAAGAACTTACATCTTTATATGTACTATACAGGCTGCTCTTTTTTTAAGTTGTTCCAGATGACCACCTATTAACAGAAGTCCAGTTCTAGCTTTAAAAGTTTGCTCTGATTTGGCTCAGATTAGATTTTGTTCTGTTTGGGAGCAGGGAGCAGTTGTGTTATTTTATTAGCTTTAGATATAAAATTTGAGATTTGGGATTCTTTAGCAATAGTGTATTTGGATGTATTTCATAAATATTTTGTAATATGCTGTTCATGGAAACGACATGATATACAGGTATGTTACATTTTTTTGTTTTGGAAGCTCCATTTAAAATTTTTCTAGGGCAGGGGGCACCTGGGTGGCTCAGTCGGTTTAGCATCCAACTTTGGCTAAAGCCATGATCTCATAGCTCCTTAGTTTGAACCCTGCATTGGGCTCTGTGCTGACAGCTAAAAACCTGGAGCCTGCTTTGGATTCTGTCTCCCTCTCTCTCTGCCCTTCTCCTGCTCTCCCACTCTCTCTCAAAAATAAACAAACATTAAAAAAATAAAATACAAATTTCTAGGTCAAAGTAGCTCTAGTGTTATATATAATATTGCTTGTAACTGAAAAAAATTGAAATACATTTTCTATGAAGTTCATATTTTATAAGTTTATGTGAGGTTTTTCCTGTGGAACAGAAGGGAAACTAATGAAAATCTTCACTATGTGGTAGTGATTAATCAGCTTTCAATGGTGGAGATTAAAACTAGTTTACTTTTAGGATAGTTCATGTAGGCACTAAGAAGTCGGACATAATTCGGTTCTTTGGCCAGGACTGATGGTAACTCTCAGAAATTTTGCATTAGGATCTGGGAAGGTCATGTAGGTGCTATGCTAAGATCTAATGGATGGAAAGTGGGTGGCAGGTTTAAAGAAGTTTATGTAGTTAGCATTTGGGGAGCTACGTGGAGTATTTTTTATAGTGTTGAAATAGGGTCGAAGACTGGAAAGTTAGACAGGTTGTGTTGCCAAAGGGGCTTTTATTGTACTCTGTTACAAGATAAGGATACCCAGTATAAATTAGGTTGATGTAATGGGAGGATCCTCTGGGAACTGATGTAAGATGTTGTAAAAATTAGAAAGTCATGGAAAAACTAATTCAAAAGCTTCCTGTTTGATCAATTTGAAAAAGAATATAGGGAAAGGAATTAGCTGTTAGGCTTTCCAAAATAAAACATTTCTATTTTTTAGATAAAATGTATTCATCACTCAGTATTTAAGTCTTGGAATGACCTGTATATGAGACTGTTAGAAACCACACTATTGGTGTCACATTTAAAGAGTTAAATACATTTGAATTAGTATTTTATATTTTAATTTATTTTGAAATAGGTTTTTGAGGTATGTCTCCAATGTGCAAAGTTGGTGATGAGGAACTGAGAGGGAAAAAATAAAGCTGAATAAGAGGCTTTAATATTACCAATTTCCCAAATTTGAATTCTCTAAGTCTTTAGTAGCAATTTTGAAAACCTGATGTTTGAGACAGTAGTGATCACCAGAACTGAAGACTCTACTAAGTTGCTCGTTAATCAACCCAAAAGTAAAATGTTACCACTTTAATCAGACTATTGAAATCTATATTCATTTTTAATTAAGTGCTTGTATTTTCATTGGCTTCCTAATCAAATCTCGAAGAGATCTCTGACCCCTAGTATGGCAGTATTAATATTACTTTGGTTTTACATGTAAACACTGGTAAACGTTTCATGGATTTGTTTTGCAGGAACAGATTTTATAAATTTTAGTGGATTTAGGAAGATGGAAACTTGTGAAAAATTAAAAAAAATCATTTTATATAGTAGCTGATTTCAAGATTAGAATTAGAGGGCCAAAAGAGATGGCAATTATTGACCTATATAGATTTTTAAAAATATTTAGGGACATTGAACATGTCGATTAATTAGCATTTCCTGGGAATAATTTTTAGAAAAGCATTGACTGAAAATTGTCTGTGAGATGGAAAAAGCAGGAGGAAGGTGGCAGATTTTAGTATTACAAAGCATATATTCATTCCACAAATACATATTAAGGGCCTACTATGTGTAAGGAACTATATAGCAATATAAAAATATGCCTCCACACAGAAATGACTGATAGTCCCCTTAAGGAACATACCATCCAGTGGGAGCCATTATTAAAAACCACATTAAGTTGACCTCTATGTTTTATGAAAACGAATTAGAATTTTGAAACATTTGTTTTGCATATTTTGCAGTCTTTATTTTTTACCCATCCGCAATGTAGTTCATAGATTTTGTAGCATGTTGTTTGTGTGTTTTGGCTTTCCTTAATCTTGTGTTTTTGCAGATTTTCATATTAGTATGCAGAAGTACTCACAGAGGTACACATTCCTCATGCACGGTAGAAATTCTGAAAATCTTATTATCTAAAAATTTTATTTTTTGAAGTATTTTACATAGGCCGAATGTGGTATAAATCAAGTTTTTTTCCCATGGAAAATTATCATATTCTTTGTGCTGTATGAAAATCCTGGGGATATGTATGGGAAATAAAAGGGTCAGTATGAACCAACTTGTATGATAAGATTAAAGCAGAAGGAAGGGCTTAACCTGGAAACTTGGAAGCAGACTACTGTTAAACAGATTAATAAATCTGGAAAACTTTCTCTTTACCCCTTTTATTTTTTATTTTTTATTTTTTTTTAATTTTTTTTTCAACGTTTATTTATTTTTGGGACAGAGAGAGACAGAGCATGAACGGGGGAGGGGCAGAGAGAGAGGGAGACACAGAATCGGAAACAGGCTCCAGGCTCTGAGCCATCAGCCCAGAGCCCGACGCGGGGCTCGAACTCACGGACCGCGAGATCGTGACCTGGCTGAAGTCGGACGCCTAACCGACTGCGCCACCCAGGCGCCCCTCTTTACCCCTTTTAAAAGAGGAAAGTGACTATTTTACCTTCAGAAATATGAGTAGATTATGGTGTAGGAAATTTTGATTCTGTTCTTATAAACTAGCTTTGATTTTTTTGAAACATAGAATAGCACTAATTTTTCTTTATTCTCTGTATATAACAAATTTCAGACCATGTGAAAGTAAATTACATTGAATTATAAATTCTAAACTTTAGTTGGAAACACTCTCAGATCGAGACACTTGGTTTTGGGGTGTGTGTGTGTATGTGTATGAAATATGAACAAAGAGAACCAATATACTAATAACAAGGCAACTTACAGATAGCATGTAGGATTTTAATTAGGTTCAGGGCTTTGTCATTTGCTATTATTGCTATATCTAAACTGGATTTTATTTTCTGCCAGTTACCAAGCAGTAATTCTTGTGTTGGACTCCTTGAATGGGTTACTTTCAGTGCCATTTGTCATATGCTTCATACATTGCACACTTGAGGATTTTTATATCTAGTTTTTACCATTCGTGATCAGTCAGTGATTATTTTGGCAGTTACATGAAGAAGAGTATATAATAATACTAGTTTCAATTCGGTGGCATGGACACTTCTGAGAGTGAAAAGGAATGATGCTGCCTAAGAACAACAGGTTAAACCAAGACAGGCTCATACTAAGATATCATTCTGTGTGATGCTTTTGACTGCAAGTGATGAAAAACACAAGCTAAACTAGTTTAAACAGTAAGTAATATATATTGGTTTGTGTATGCAAAAAGCCCAGTGTTCGGGAGTCCTACAGGTATGATTTGGTGAGGACTCTGGCTTTGTCTATTTTCTAGACTCTGACTTCTGTGGCTGGTTTCCCTTATAATCCTTGGATGGTTGCCAGTAGCAATCTGGGCTATATTCTTCTATGATTAGCAGGATAGAGAAGCCTGAATAGAATGCGTCTTAAGCTTCATGGTTATTAGATACATCTGAGCTAATCTCTGTGACAAGAGGAATGTCATGTGCTGATTGTCTTAAATACAAGATATTTGAATATCACCGAGGCAAGGAGGACAGGATTACTTTGATATTGTTAGACTAGTCAAAATCCATTCAGAAAACTGGTGTAGGGTCTGTCTGTTTGGGAAAGCAAGACTGCTAAAGCAAGAATGGGTGGAAGTTCGGGAAGCAACTACAAAGTTCAATGTGAAATGCAATGTCTTTGCTTATTCGCATTTTCCCTTATGCATCTGTTACTGAGTTCCTGCAAGAGCCTAACATACTGCAGACATGTTTTCTTCTAGTGAGAATTTCTAGCATGAAATGACTTAGCCTGGCAAGGGGAAAGGAGAAGAAAATTTACATCCCATTTTTCTTTTTTTCTGTGAGACTGTGGTAATTGTTGATTATCCTTTTTTTTTTTTTTTTTTTTTTTTTTTTTTAAACAGACTAATAGGGATGCCAAAGGAAAAATATGATCCTCCAGATCCTCGCAGAATTTATACCATCATGTCAGCAGAGGAGGTAGCCAATGGGAAAAAATCTCACTGGGCAGAATTAGAAATCTCGGGTGAGTGGAATCTGAAGCGTTTAATCCAGGATATAATAGCAATAATGAGCAAGAATTGAGTATTGTATTTATTCCTATGTTGTACATTTGTAATTAGATGAACTAATTGAGAAAATAAAAGATTCTGAGTACTGGTGTTTAATTTACCTGTGACTAAATATCTTTTTTCTGTTCTTTCTTTTGAAATAATACCTTGAGCCAGAGTTGGCATCTGAAATTGAGGACATTGGGAGTTTAGTTTCTGAGTAACCAGGTTCTTTGATATAATAGATTTAATTTTGGCTATTGCAGAGTAATTATTTTTGGAAATTGAAATCTTTGCCATTTTCCTATCATCCTAGTGTTGGCATAGTAGGAAGCTTAGAAGCTGTTGATTCCAAAAAATAACTATATTACATGACCTTTCATGTTTAGGATTTGTTCAGATAGAATATGATTCCTAAAAACTTACAGTCCTAGTGTACTAGTGACAAAAAAATCAGACAAACTCAAGCTGAAAAACTCAAACTGCAAAATACCTAACCTAGTAATCCTCAAAAGTGTCAAGGTCATAAAAAACAAGGAAAGACTGAGAAACTGTCACAGACCATAAGAGACTAGGGAGACATGATGACTAAATGCAAAATGGTATCTTGAATTGGATCTTATAACAAAAAGATGGAAAAACTGGTGAAATCCAATATAAAACCTGTACATTAGTAATGTACCAATAATGTACAAAAGTAATGTACTAATATTAGTTTCCTGGTTTTGACAAATGTATCATGATAATATAAGAAACTAACAGGGGAACTGGATGAGAGGTATACAGGAACTCTATTATCTTGGTAGCTTTTCTATAAATCTAAAATTATTATAAAGTTGAAAGTGTATTAAAAATAGAATATAATTACTGTTTTTTGTTTATTAATTGGTATAATACAGATAATGTGGAATGTGATACCCCTGTGTCTCCCTCCCCTCCCCCCCCCACAGGCTTTCATTGGGAAGCATTAAACCCACATTATAGTGTTAATAGCAAGAATTACCCGTATATTTAGCTTAAATGTAATCTGGTGGGTAAATGTTGGTAATCAGAAGAGTGAATATCAGCAGATCCTATTGGGCTAACCCAGGGTTTCTCAGTTAGGCACTGCTAACACTTAGGGCCAGACAGTTCTTTGTGTTTGGGGGCTGTTGTGTGCACTGTAGGTGATTTAGCAGCATTCCTGGTCTTTACCCACTAGATGCCAGTAGCACTCCTCTTTTTTTTTTTTTTAAAGGACATTAATTTTAACTTCATTGTAGACATGATAATTGGAATTTTGAAATTTTTTAATGTTTATTTTTGAGAGAGACAGTGTGAGTGGGGGAGAGGCAGAGAGAGAGCTGTCAGTACAAATTCCCACATGGGGCTTGAACTCACAAACGGTGATATTATGACCTGAGCTGAAGTCAGATGCTTAACTGACTGAGCCACCTAGGCGCCTCATGATATTAGAATTTTGATAATGAAGATAGTTCTCCAGCAGTTTGGGTCCTCCAGATAGTTAGCCACATATATGTTTAAATATAAGTTAATGTTAACATGTTAATATATTAAGTTAATATAATATATAATAAGTTAATATATTAAGTTTAAATACATATGAATATTAACATGAGATATTACCATTTTGTAAATAATTCCATTAAAACACACATGGGATAAAAGGTTACTGTAATACATATCAGTGGACATCTTAGGGACTAATTTACATAAATTATAATTTTTTAAGCTGAAGTATAGTTAACACACATGATACATTAGTTTCAGTTATACAGCATAGTGTTTAGCAGTATTCCCGGCCTCTACCCACTAGATGCCACTAGCACTCCTCTGGTTTTGACAACGAAGAATGTCTCCAGAGTCCCAAAGTCCCTTGGGGAATAAAATCAAAATTGCCCCTGGTTGAGAACCACCTGATTAAATCCCAGGTAAGACTTAAATAAGTTTCTTTTACCACAGCCTCTCTTCACTTGAACACTTTCTTTCCTATTAAAATACAAAATCCTAGCTGGCACCTGAGCCTGATAATAGATAGCATGAAGGAACCTGTGACAGAACCCTGGACAGATCTGAGCTTGAGTTGACCACTTGATAGCTATGTGAAAAGTAGCATTGACCATTTGACATTTTGTGGCCTCTATACACCTTCCACTGCTCTTTTAATCAAGATCTGTTGTTTCGAATGTGATATGTAATTAAATTCTATTTTACTTCTGTAAAGTTTACAAAATAATCTTCATATAAATTAAGATAATATCCCACTTTACAGCAGCTGCGGTTAGGTGATTTGCCCAGATCTATATAGCTAGTAAGCGGTAAAAATCAGGATTCTGAGATAGGTTTCCTGAATCTTTTCTAGTCCATGTGCTACAATAGCTGTCAGATGCTGACTGACTGACTGATAAAGCTTAATGTGTGACCATTTCACTTGAGTATGTTGCACTTAATGCAAAATCTTAAACCAGAGTTGTTGATTGTAGCATCGAAAGCTGGGAACGATATCTCTTTTATGGGTAAAATGGTTTTCCTAATGGTCAATCTGATATTGGTTCTAAATCATCGTAATTACTCTTGGTAATTTAAAGTTTGTAGAAGAATCCAGGCCCAAAATATGGACAAAACTTGCACTATTATTTTTTGTGGAGTATGTAAGAAATACTTTCGTTAGGACTGTGCCTTAAAATAAAATTCAAGACTGTTCTGTCACAAAAGCTTAAGTCAGCCTGATGTTTTCCTTGAGAACTCACCATCACCCTGACTCCAGGGGTCTCCTTATTATGCCACATCTCATTTAATACATGGGGAGTTCATGAGAAATAATGGTTGTTAGGCAAAAGTGACATGAAATTAAAGAACAGGTAGGTTTGGAAGCAGTCAAATGGCATTAATAGAAAACTAACCTCAAAGATGCAGTATCTGTATATTGCAGTCTCTTCTACCACTTTGTAGTCCTTGGAGGTTAGTCTTCATCCTGGGCCTAGATTTTAATGCTTCAATATTTTGCCTTTTAGGTAGAGTGCGGAGCTTAAGTACGTCACTTTGGTCATTGACACACTTGACAGCACTGCACCTAAATGACAATTACCTTAGTCGCATTCCACCTGATATTGCCAAGCTTCATAATCTGGTTTACCTGGATCTGTCATCCAATAAACTCAGAAGTTTACCAGCAGAACTAGGAAACATGGTGTCTCTCAGGTAAGGAAATATTACTGATATGACTCACTTTATAGAATTCTAAATTTACCAAATAAGAAAATTATGAGATATTATTCCTCTTACAGTAGGATTTTGGTATGCATTTGAAGATCAAATGATAAAAATTGTCTAAACAGGGCTCGAGGTGGCATCCGTTGAACATTTCCTTTCTTTCAATTTGAAGCTTTCTAAGTAGAAGTGTGCTTGTCTTACCAATTTCTTTTAACAGCCTTGAGGTGGGTTGGGATTAAAATATTAGGTCTCGCTTTAGGCTCAAGCATGTGATAAGATAATCATAAATAATTGAGAAAATACTCTGATCTTGTAAGTAAACTTCTGGGAACATACCTGTTTTATAAGGTGAAGTATACTTAAATGTCACAAGTCCTTAAGGAAACCTTAGAACTTGATAGTAAATGGATTTATTTCTTGTCCTTTAGGGTTCTTTAAGAATTTTTTCATAGGAAAAAATTTTGTAGGTCCCTTAAGACCTTGTATAAATGTTTTCAGTGTAGGCAGGTATTGCTTTTCTATGTTTATTTGCTAAGTGGTAATTTTTTTTTCTGGCTAAGTAGTGATATTTAAAATTGCTGTCATGTGTTTAAAATTAAACATTTATATTGTTTTAGAATCTTATTCCTTATTTTCTTAAAATACTTTTTAGTCATCTAATAATATGGCTGTTTATTTTTTCTGTAATCTGGCCAAAATTTCAAAATTATAAGCTTGGATCTTACCTATATTATCCTATTATCTGTATTATGCTTTATTTTCTGTGGTTATGTCCTATGTCAGTGATTGTTCATCATAGTATCTTAATGTGATTACAGTGTAATCAGTTATAAGAATTGATAAAGGTGATTGGTTGTTACATTTTTCTGTGGAGTATACTGGATACTGGTTGTCTTTGGATACAAAGAATATCTGTCACTTTGATTTGGGTAGGCATTTGAGTGAGAGAGAAAAGGGAATGGAGTTAGCCTGCGAATGATATGTAGTTCTTGCAGCTTTAGTAATCTGTGCTGGAGAATGAATAAATTATAGAAACATTGTTAACAGTTGTGGTAGTTACACATTTTGTACATTTTTTGGATTGAATGTGTCTTGCAAGTAAATATAACTCATGGTATGTTAGGGAAGGCTAAGAAAGTAATTGTAGATATTAATAAAGGTTTGATATATTAAACTTTTTTCTTTTCTTTTTTTTTGAACAGGGAATTGCTTTTAAATAACAATCTGTTACGGGTTTTGCCTTATGAACTTGGTCGGCTCTTCCAGCTACAAACTCTAGGTTTGAAAGGTGAGTGATGTTAGAAGATGACAGCGTTAACACTCACTGAGTATTGAGGTGTTGTGAGCCTTTTAAAGACAATTTTGGTTACAATATAGGTAAGGTTTTTGCATAATTTTGAGAATGTAATTATACTTTCTCTTGAAAGTAAAGTGGTTCTTCAGTATCAAATTGAGCTTCAGCATTTCATCATACTGCCATCATTTTAACAAATTTGTATGGGGAAAAATTTTAAATATATTTTATATTTAATTTTCTGTAAAATTCTTACATTTCTTAGAGGAGGTATTTTAAATTGACACTGTAGTTCCGCCTGCCACCCCACCTATAAAACCATGACTTAATAGGGTAAACCCCAGGCAGAATATTCCATATCAGGTTTTGATAGAGTAGATAAAATTGCAGTGACATATTGTTTGTTATAAGAGAGAAAACAACAGTAAAGATGAACTATACCTAATGAGAATGATTGTTCTGAATAAAGTATATCAATCCAAGATAGATGTTCCTTTGATAATCTCATCTCAGGCAGTTTGGGATGAAAGTCATTCTCAATTCATATTAATACTGAAATTTGTTATAATAATCTCTTATGGCATAGCATAGGAGGAAGGGTTTATTTTGATTTTAGAGGACTAAATACAGATATACTATATTGGTTAAATATTTTACTCTGTGCTCATTAGGAATGGACATTAATCAAAGCCTTATAAAGCAAACACTTCCTTATTTTATTTTCCTTCTTCAAAGACAATTTGAATCTCTGAGAACATGTTCTGTTTGCATTTGCTTATGTCATATAATGGAGTATTAAGAAAGAAGCTTGAATATGAATTGAAAGAATCCTGATATTATTGGTTGACATGACAGAAATAGTATTAGATTTCCTTGTGTAGTTAATCTTTTGTAAATTAGACAATTATATGAATGGTATGTCTTGTGTTTTTACTCTCTCTGTAGGACTTTTTTTTTTGATATTTTTTATCCTATATGAAGAACCAGGGGATACTTATATCTAAAATATTTTCTTGAAGATTAACCCCAAGGCATTTCATATTTAACTGTTGGGACATTTCACCTTAATCTCTGTATGCTGAATCTTATTCTTATACGTTAGACTTGAAACAGCCATCCAGCTAGAATTGGAATGAGTGCAGGTCTGTTCTTCTCTATTAAAAAATATTATGAGGGCACTTCGGTGGCTAGTTGGTTAAGCATCCAACTCTTGATTTCGGCTCAGGACATGATCTCATGGTTTAAGATCTCATGGTTTAAGATTAACAGCATGGAGCCTGCTTGGGATCCTGTTCCTCCCTCTCTTTTTGTTCCTCTCCCATTTGTGCTTGTGTGCTCTCTTGGTCTCTCTCTCTCTCAAAATAAATAAACATTTAAAAAAATTACAGAATGACTGTCATTTTTTATAATCTTATTAGACTCATGAAGTATGAAATTCACACTTTTGTACTGACCGTAGTAATTTTTTTGTCTCTAAGAATAACCATTGCTTCTTTTAACATCAATTAGAACAGCCATTTTTGGGGCACCTGGTGGCTCAGTCGGTTAAGTGTCTGACTTTGGCTCAGGTCATTGATCTCATGGTTCATGGGTTCGAGCCCTGCATCAGGTTCTGTGTTGATAGCTCAGAGCCTGGAGTCTGCTTCGGATTCTTCCTCCTTTCCTTTCCTTTCCTTTCCTTTCCTTTCCTTTCCTTTCCTTTCCGTTCCGTTCCGTTCCGTTCCGTTCTTTTTTCTGCCCCCCCTCCCCCCGCTCATGCTCTCTCAAAAATAAACAAACATTAAAAAAACTAAAACAAAACAAAAAAAACCCCAAAACAGCCATTCTCCTCCTGCTAATATTGATGGAGAGCACATCAGTGACAAATGAATAATTTACTGTTGAACTCAGTGGATTTACCCTTTGTACAATGTGATGTTCCTGAAAACGCAAATATTCCCTATCTTACTGTTTCATACCCCATTCCATATTATCTCATGTAGAGACCTATTCCCATAAAATTTATACTAAGCATCAACTGAATGAATCATTCTGAATATCTGTTATCCCCTTTGTCCTTCATCCATTTTACTAGTTAAAATCTTAGTCTTCCAAACTACTGTTTTTGGCTGGCCTTTGATCCTAGTGTCCTTTTGTTTACTGATTCGCATTTGTTAAAGTCTCTTCTTAGACCTCTAGTCCTTTAAATTGGGTACCAGCTCTGCCTCGTGAACGATCACTTAGCTTTGTTCATTCCTATGAATACGTTTCTTTTTATTAAACTTCAGTTTGTTCTAAGGTAAATACCTATCTGCATTCCTTTTCTCTTTGAAAATCTATTATTCTGGTAGAGTACCACTTTCTCTTCAGGTGATCCAATACAGAAAAGCCAAGGACGTTTATTATGCTAAGGAAAATAGAAATAAGTCAGTCAAAGAAAGACAGATACCACTTGATTTCACTCATATCTGGGATTTGACAAACTTAACAGATGATCATAGGGGAAGAGAAGGAAAAATAAGATAAAAACAGAGAGAGGCAAACCATAAGAGGCTCTTAAATGCAGAGAACAAGGGCATCTGGGTGACTCAGTCGGTTGAGCATCTGATTTCGGCTCAGGTCATGATCTCCTGGTTTGTGTGTTCGAGCCCCACGTCCAGCTCTGTGCTGACAGCTCAGGGCCTGGAACCTGCTTCAGATTCTGTGTCTCTTTCTCTGTCTGCCCCTCCTCCACTCGCACTCTGTCTCTCTCAAAAGTAAAGAAACATAAAAAAAAAAAATTTAAATGCAGAGAACCAAGTGAGGGTTGATGGGGGTGGGGTAAACAGGTGATGAGCATTAAGGAGGGGACTTGTCCAGATGAGCACTGAGTGTTATATGTAAGTGATGAATCACTAAATCCTACTCCTGAAGTCAAGACTACATTGTATGTTAACTAACATGAGAATAAAAAAAGAAAAGAAACCCAGAGCCATTTCTGCTATCTTTCCAAAGTTTGAGATGGTAGAAACAGGATTGGTTTAGAAACAGGAATAAAATGTCCCTAATGAATGGTAGCTTTACATTCTTAGGAAGGTAAGACTTGAAATTTCCTAATCTGTTTTAGTACTCATAAAATGGCACTGTGTTTCCAGAAAAGGGAAGGGAGTGGAATGGAGCATTTATTTCACTTAGGGTAATACCCTCTAGGCCCATCCATGTTTTCACAAATGGCAAGATTTCATTCTTTTTTATGGCTGAATACTGTTTCTGTATGTATATGCCACATCTTCTTTATCCATTTACCTGTCAGTTCTCAACAGAGGTTATTTCCAGATCTTGGCTGTTGTAAGTAATGCTGCAGTAAACATAGGGTTGCACATATCTTTAAGGTCAGTTGATTTTTTTTTTAGTAGACAAACAACGTTGCATTAGTTTAAGGTGTACAACATATTAATTCAACTCTATATATTAAGTTGTGCTCACCTCAGTGTAGCTAGCATCTGTTACCATGTAACACTATTACAATACAATTGACTGTATTCCCTGTGATGAACTTTTCATTCTCCTGACTTACCCGTTCTATGACTAGGAGCCTTTCCTCTTCACTCATTTTGTCCATTGGCAGTTATCTGGCAGCCATCACTTTGGTCTCTGTATTTATAAGTCTGATTCTGCTTTTTGTTTATTCATTTGTTTTCTTTTTTATTCTGTATATAAGTGAAATCATGTGGTATTTGTATTTCTGACTTACCTAGGATAATACTTTCTATGCCTGTCACGTCACAAATGGCAAGATCTCTTATTTTTAATGGTTTAGTAATATTCTGTTTTATACACACACACACACACACACACACACACACACACACCCCGTCTTCTTTATCCATTCATCTATGGATGGATATTTGGGTTGCTTCCATATCTTGGCTATTTTAAATAATGTTGCAGTAAACATAGGGGTGTGTATATCTTTTTGAATTAGTGTTTTCATTTTCTGGTAAATGTGTAGAGATGGAATTATTGGATTGTACTAGATTTCTATGTAACTTTTTGAGGAACCTCTGTACTATTTTCCTGTTTAAAATTTTTAAAAATTTAAATCCAAGTTAGTTAACATATATGTAATAATGATTTCAGGAATAGAATTTAGTGATTGATTAGTTACATATAACACCCAGTGCTCATCGCAGCATGTCCTCCCTAATGCCCCTTGTCCATTCGTCCACCCAACACCCCATCAGTAACCCTCAGGTTGTTGTCTGTATTTTAGAGGGTTTGTTTCCCTCTCTGTTTTTATATTATTTTTTGCTTCCCTTCTCTTATGTTCATCTATTTTGTGTCTTAAATTCCACATGAGTGAAATCACATATTTGTTTTTCTCTAACTTACTTCACTTAGCGTAATACACTCTAGTTCCATCCATGTTGTTGTAAATGGCAACATTTCATTCTTTTTCATTGCCAGACATTCTCCAGTGTGTGTATACATACATGTATACACACACACACACACCACACCACACCACACCACACATCTTTATCCATTCATTAGTCGATAGACATTTGGGCTCTTTCCATAATTTGGCTATTATTGATAGTTCTGCTATAAACATTGGGGTGCATTTGCCCCTCCAAATCAGCACTCTTGTACCCTTGGATAAGTACCTAGTCATGCAATTGCTGGGTGTAGGATAGTTCTATTTTTAATTTTTTGAGGAACCTCTATATTGTTTTCCAGAGTAGCGGCACCAGTTAGCATTCCCACCAGCAGTGCAAAAGCTTTCCTCTTTTTCTGCATCCTCACCAACATCTGTTGCTGCCTGAATTGTTCATTTTAGCCATTATGACAGGTGTGAAGCAGTATCTCATTTTGGTTTTGATTATTTCCCTGATGATGAGTGATGTTGAGCACCTTTTCATGTGTGTCTTAGCCGTCTGGATATCTTCTTTGGAAATGTGTCTATCTCTTTTGTCCATTTCTTCACTGGATTATTTGTTTCTTGGGTGTTGAGTTTATGTTCTTTATAGATTTTG